TAACCCAACATAAATCCTTTGAACAGCCCAGTTTGAGGTATTGACATGTGAGACCATCCATCTTTCTATTGTGGTCTCGACCACATATATATGAGCATCATTTGGAGAGGACTTGGCTACCATGACCATTGCTGACGATAGTGGAGTTTGGTGAATGTCTTGATCGATTCCATGCACACTTAGCCCAATGTCACTGCATATCACAATAAGATGCTCCATGGGAGAGATTGTCAAATCTCTAAGTGTCTTCAATGGAAAATGTGATGAGGGCATCGACTTATAGGCCATATTGTCAAGTAACAATATAGACATGCTTCCACTGGATTCTATGATCAGGATGCGATTGGAACTGGGGAAGAAGGCTGAGCCAAGGATCTTTGACTTTGATTGTGATGTGCCTGGGTTTTTACAGTTGTTGACTGGGAGTGGAAGAAGCTGGAAGAGGCAGGAAGAAATCCACAGCACAGCGAGTTGATCTTCATTCCATAAAAGTGCACAGGAAGAATCTGGTGCATGTTGAATCTGAACATTTCGAGAGAACCCCGAGGGAAGCTCATTAAGCAATTGGATTTGATGACCTGACTTGACATCCCATAAATAGACTTGGTTAGATTCGTGTACAGTAATGAGATGACGACTGTCTGGGGAGAGGAATAATTTGTATGCAGGGGATAGTTGAGAATTGGGGAGACTGGGTTGGTGTTGGTGTGATGAATGATGGAGTGTGAAACCATCCCAATGAATATCGAGTACAGTGAGATGACTCCATGACCAGTAATAACCATTAGCAATATCTGGTGAACGAGATAAATCGAATTTGTAATATTCCAAGGTTTCCTGAAGAGTCCAATCGATGATAGCAACACCATCGGCAGAAATGACGGCAATCCTTTGGCCGTCAGGTGAAATTGAAATGGATCTGACAGGTCGCCCGTCCATCTTTAGCTCATTCCGATGCTCCCCATCAAACAATTCACCCTCTATCTACCATGACTTGTGGAGAGGACGACTCCAGAAAACAGATCCATTCCAGTTCTCACCAGGTCATGGTGAGAAATTCATGCTCATTGGCAACGGGTTCCTGACAGTGTGGGAATGCTCTTCTGGCCGTCAACTCTTTCAAATTCACCCTAGGCCATCAGTTGCCAGATTTTCTCCTGATGGGACGATGATTGCTCTTGCCTCAGATAACAGTCCGGTGGGGCTAATATGTGCAGAAGATGGCTCTGTCCTCCGCAGCTGGGACGCAGTGACGGACCTT